ATCTTTGATGCAAAAAAAGCATATTTCAACTCCATACCTGAAAAACTGACAACCAGATAGCTTGTGATGGTTAGTAAATTCTATGACCAAGAAGTCATAGAAAAATTCTTACTCCATAGGATAGCAAAGGAGATATGGTAGGTTGCACATGAAACTTACTCTTAGCACAAAAAATTCTTCGAAGTTATTTGAGATTGATATCAGACTACATGATCTACGACAAGAAGAATTGAGTGTTACTCAATATTTTAACACGTACGATGTTGGTCGTACTTAGACATGTATGAGGTTCTTGAAAATGTTGTGATGCTCTACCTTTTAGAAAGACTATTGAATAAAAAAAGAACTATCGAATTCATCCTTGACCTTAATAAAGATCTAGATGAAATCAGCATCAAACTTATTCCTATCATTTGGGAGGTTTTGCGAAAGTTCAAAAGGAAGATAGCAGAAAAAATTTGATAATGACGGACAGCCACACCACATCATCTATTGAAGGATCAACTTTGTACACTCACAAATTCACTTAGATAATAAGCCCAAGAAATAACGATCATGGTACGACCATTGTAAGAAACTTTGTAATTTGAAGGAAACATGTTGGAAATTACATGAAAATCTTACAAATTGGAAGCTATTTAATGGAGGATATGATAAGAAGAACCGTGCAAATGTTGTTGTCACAACCAGCAGTGCAAATGTTGTTGTCACAACCAGCAATAATGCAAAATGCAGCCCATTCAATAGGAAGCAAATTGAGGCACTGCAAAAAAATATTCAGTCGGTGTTCCAATTTTGTACAAGTACCACAATCCTCAGTCGAGCAACGTACGAGTCCGTTAGCACACCAAGGTATCTTATCACATACTTTCATTGTCCAAAACAACAAACTAAAACCTTAGATAGTCGACTCAAGTCTCAAATTATGTAACGGGAGGCATCAATAATTTCAAAAATTAGAACCCATGCAGCTGTCACTCTACATTGCAAATAGTTGACGCTTTATTCTTATCGACAACAGAAACTTGATAAGTAAAATTCACAAAGATTCTTCACCTCTACTTTGTTCTATAGCTTCCAAAATTAGCTCATAATCTACTCCCAATTAGCAAACTTACTCGTGACTTAATAAAAAGTGACTAAATTTTATTTCAGTTTTTATGATTTTCAGGTAGTGAATTTGGGGAAGGGATTGACAATACTAAGATGCATGGTGGCCTATATTTGCTCAAAGAAGATAATTTTATATAGACAAATTAACTTGTGAAGCTATATTTATGAGTCTAGTTCAAATCTGTCAGTCAAGTTTCCAATTCTAAGAATGCTTCAATTGAAACTCAAGTCATATTAAATCATTATCGCATTGGCCATCCAAATGAAAAGATGTTCTCACATTTATTTATCAATAAAAATTTCAATATATCAGTGTGGCACTTATCAGCTTGCAAAACATTCTATACATGCATACTGCAATACGAGTCTTCAAATCATTTTTCTATAATTCACAATGATATATATGAACCCTCACTAGTAAAAAAAATAAATGAGACGATAGTTTGTATCATTCATAGATGATCACACAAGAACAACATGAAAATTCTTATGAAAGAAAAATAGGAAAGTCAACATATTTCAATCATTTCATTCCATGATCTTCCTTAATTCCAAAGCAAAATTTAAATTCTTAAAAAAGATTATGTTAAGAAATATTTTACTTTCATTCTTAGTATTTATTTTCAAAGCATGGAATCATTCATATAAATTTATAAGGATATTCCTCAACAAAAGGGAGGGAAGAATAAATGCTTATTTGAGATGGCTCGTGTCATTATGTTTTTTAATTACGTGTCTATAAATTTTTTTTTGAAGAAGTCATACTCACAACCACATATCTCATCAATAGCATGCCTGGAGTCCCCAAATTTCAAATTCCTCGTAATGTACTGTAATCCAATTCACACCGCACCAAACTTGATTCCAAATCTCATTCCTTGGTTATTACTCCAATCAAAAAGGATACAAATGCTACTCTCCAAGCAATAAAAAAATATACAACTCCATGGAAATTATCTTCTTTTAGAATCAATCTTATTTTCCCAAATTTGAAATTCAAGGGGAAAACTCAAAAGAAATGTAGAGATATTCAAAACCAGATTGATAACCAAGGGCTTCACATAGTCATATGGGATTGACTTCCAAGAATTTTTGTGTTTGTTGTCAAGCTTAATATTGGTCGGGATCTTCTCTCTTGCAGTAAATCAAAATTGACCTTTATATCAACTTGATGTCAAAAATATCTTCTTGGATGGGAACCTTGATGACGAAGCCTACAAGACTATACATTTGGGCTTAAGAAAATAGATCAAACAACAGACAAATTTGTAATTTAAAGAGATCCTTATATGGCTTAAAGCAATCTCCTTGTACTTGATTTGATAGACTTGATAAAACTATGATTACAGACGGATATCATCAGTGTCAAGTTGATTATAAAACATTTGTTAAATCTAATCCTGAAGGCAAATTTGTTATTCTCATAGCATATGTAGATGATAGTATCTTGACAGGTGCTAGGGAAATTAAAGATGCTTGTAATATAATTTGCGATCAAGGGACTCTCTGATACTTTCTGGGATGGAGGTGGCCTGTTTTAAGTAGGGAATAGTCATATCTCAAAGAAAGTAGATCTTAAACATGTTAAGTGAAACTAGTGTGCCTGGGTAACACACCCATGAATCCCAAGAAAAAAATTGAACATAAGTAAAGAAATTAGTCAAGTTAACAAAGGATGATATCAAAAAACTTGTGGGTAAACTAATTTACCTATTACACAGAAGACCTTATATTGCATGATGAATCAACGTAGTAAGCTAGCACATGAATAATTCAAATGAATATCATTTAGAAGCGGTGAATAGAATTTTGAGATAATTGAATATAACTCCTGGATATGATGTGGAACTGATAAAAAATCAACCATTATGTATTGTTCAAAAGTCTAGTGCAATCTCATCAGTTTGAGAAACAAAAAGCAAATTGTTACCTCTAGAAGTCGTGCAGAGTCTAAATACCGTGGTCTTGCAATAGAAATATGTGAGAGAATGTAGTTTCAAAAGCTATTATAAGAAATAAGGATAAAACAAATGACACAATTAAGATGTTTATGACATAGTCAAGCAGCTATTAGTATACCCAAAAACCTTATGCACCATGAAAGAAGAAAACATTTCAAAATTGACCAATACTTCATCTAAAAAAAGATCAACAATGAAATTGTTCAGCTAAGTTATGTTCCAACAAGAACTGAAGATTAAGAAAAATAACACAATTAAGATGCTTAGTAACATAGTTAAACAACTATTAGTATAACCAAAAATCATGTGCACCATCAAAGAACAAAACACTTCAAGATTGACCAATACTTTACCTCAAAAAAGGTTAACAACGGAATTGTTCAACTAAGTTATGTTCCAACAAGACGTTAGATTATTGATATTCTCATCAAAATACTATGGAGGGTCAGCCATAATAAATTGAATTTCAATCTTAGTTTGTGCAATATATACAACTCAGCTTGAGGGAGAGTGTAGGAAGTAACCAAATCATGTGCAGGATTAAAAAGAAATTTATTTCCTTTACTCATAATAAATTTCAATATATGTTTTATTTTCCTTATTAGAAATTTCATATTTTCCTATTTTGGTGGAATTCCTAATATAAAGGAGTCTTATTTACTATTTTGTGGACTGGTAGGCGGCATAGACCAGCCACTCTATTATATAGTACGGTGTAATTCATTATTTTAGTGCAATAATTTTTTTTCTCAAATTTCTTCAGGATGACAGCTAGAGCTATAAACGAGCTAAGTGTGAGCGAACTCAAGCTTGGCTTATGTTCGGTTCATGTTCGACTCGTTCAAAATTGCTCGTATTTGAAATCAGCTAGTGTTCGAAATTGGCTAACAAACAGCGTGTTCGTGTTCGGCTCAATTTAAATATTCTTGTTTGAGTTTGGCTCATATTCAGTTCAAAATTGGCTTATTAAAATTAATAAAAAAAATAGATGTAGGATGTTGGATTCGAACCTGCACCAAAAAATCGACTAAGTGTAAAATACAAAGAAATCCTTGGAAGGAATATTAGAGGGTTATACAAAGTGTCTTCCCAAAAGATGACGGTGAATATCAGATTAGGGGTTTTGATCATTCAAGTAAAGTAGTTGTAATTCATAAATTGTACTACTAAAAACAAAATATAAAAAGCCAGGTCAAATTTAGTATCCATGCTTGGATAGAACTATAATTTCTACTTTTAAAATAGAAAAGATATTACAGATGCTGTTTCAGTTACAGATATTTGTATTCAGAAAGAATAGAAGCCGAAGATTAGCATGTCTTTCAAATTTTGATTAGGATGACAATATTCACCTTTTTAAAGAGTTTCAAAGCTGAGATATTTGTATTATTACAGCAGGTAACTTTAATATCGTTGTTAGTGCTAAAAATTCAAATAAAGTTGCCATGCTTTAGAAGGAAAGAAATAACAAGCTAATTGCCATGAAAAACTACATTAAAGTGTGCTCACATAAAAGCAAATAATTCACAATTTTTATAAATAAGGCATGTGATGCTTTATTATTATCAAAACCTTTTAAAAATCATTTTTATTTTTATCCTCGAGTCATGTGCAGATCGCAGCAGAAAGTACGACTAAGTACGCATGCTGAATACCATTTCCATTGCCCAGTGAATTAAGCACCAATCAAATTTTTAATATAAACATAACGATGCAATACACTTCGATACATTAAGATCCTGCAAAAAAGGTCGGGTCAAAAATTTGCAAACCTCATTATCAGATATAGCTTTGAATAAGAGCATGTTATATCAATGCGCCAAATAATAAGCATCAACAATAACCAAGACAGGAAACCTTTGGGCAAATGTAATGTTTGCAAGGCAACACCGTAAACAACATTTAAGACGAGAAAAATTTACATACCTCATTTTCAGATATAGCTCCTGAAGGGATAGGTCGATAAGGCTCGTTGATAGCATCAATTTCACGATCGTACCAATCATTTAGTGTCTAAAGGGGTGGAGAGGATCAGTACGAAGATAGAATGAAGGAAAAAACTAACCAAATAAAAAATATTGGACATTTTGCAGTTGATCCAAAGGTTGTTCCGGATTTAGTAATTTGAATCATAATTTTAGTCCTTATTTTCTGAACCAAACCATCACATGTACGGAAAAAATGGAAACAGAGGAAAAAAACACGAGAAATTTACAGACAAACAACACAATTCTTATGTAATTACATCTCTAACACCTAAAGTTTGATATTTACATTTATAAGACTGGTGTTATAAGCATATACATGAAAGGTGTATTTCACTTTCAAAAGTTAGTAATAGTAATATTTCTGATGAGATGTTAAAATATTTTTGTATACATGTAAATATCAAAACTTAGGTGTTAAATATGTACATATATAAGGATTGTCTGGCATCTATGTAAATACCCCAAAAAAACAAATAGGCTACTACCAAAGTTTTTGTCAGCCCGCCCAAAAAAGTTTTGTAGGCACCAACCAAAAGCTCTTGGCTATTGACATAAACATTGGGTGAATGCCTTGTACCCTTTGCTAGTCAAAAAGAGACGGCCAAAATGGTGAAATGCTTGTGGTGTTTGATCAGTATTAGTGCATGGCACATGCATGTGCATGTAATGGCATGAACACGTGACAACTGGTGGAAGCATAAGACACAACACTTCACGCGTTAATGAGTATAAGCTAGAAAAATATGAAGTTAAATCCACAAGTTCAGACATCACACACACATGGCGCAATTGCAAGGACGTGCATGCAACTGCCAAGAAATGTGTGTAGCATGCATGCTTTTGTCGAGATGAGTGATATTGCAAAGGAAAATGCAATTCACAAGAGATGTGCGAAGGTGTGTGCGTGTAGTTGCCAAGGGATGTCCGCAAAAATGTGAGCAAGTTTACACGTGCAGCAGTTGAGATGTGCGTGGTTGTAGAGACATGTGCTTTACTGCCAGGGCATGCATGGGTGAAGAGTTGTGATGGGTCTCTCCAATATCTAAAAACATGCGCCACATGTAAAGCGGACAAAGAGACACAGATTTGTGCATGTAGTTGAGAATTGTAGAAATGACGTGCACATTGTGGGTGGATATGTGTAATGTCGAAAAATTGGTGAGAACAATTTTTGGAAATTTGTGCCAATTTATGTGAAGCAAAGGGATGTCTGGAGAGCAAGCAAAAGGAAGTAACAAGGTGTCGCCATTTCCTCCGATTGATGAGGTGCTTTGGCTGGATGCAATCAGGCGGTGGTTGAAGAGCTGTGCACTTTCCATCTATAAGGAAAAGGTTTTTGATGTTCCTACATGCTATGAGTGATGATAAATAATACATTTGTATTGGGGACGTGTGTTATGAGCTCCCTGTAGTTCTTTCGTTAAAAAAGGTTTGAGGACATTTTTTCCTGCAAAGTTTGGGTGTTTTCTTTGTCCCTGATGTACAAGATGGTTCTAAATTGTGGGAAACCTAAAACCTAAAGAAGGGCAAGGATTGCCTAGCAGGTGAGTTGACTAGGGTGGAAGCGGGATCGTGTCCCACATGCGGGAGTTCCCGCGTAACCATCAACTCAACTGCTTTGCTTGGACCGAACCAGTCTAGGTTTTCTCCTTTCCAATGAGTCGGTCGATCGGCTAGGGCCATTCCTAGTGTTCCTCTTATTATATATTTGCATTATTGATGTTTTATGTTCAGTTTTTTGTGTGTTTTGTGTTGGGACAGCCGTTAGCGTCTCTTCATCCCTTCGAAGGCCATATTCTAGAGTCCAGGTTGTGATTCAATTGTATCTTGGCCTCTAGGTGGTGATTATCGTCTATATCACACTCCTCATCCTCCTCAAGTCTCTCCCTGATACCAGAGGAGAAATGCCCAAACCACAAAATTCAACTTTTATTAACAGGAAAAGAGGGTTATAACACACGCAAACAGTAAATAACATCACCAAACACAAACGACACAAATGGATACCTCGAGAGTGTATCCCAAGGGCGGTGAGCTTGGTGGAAAGGTGGGGTAGCAGTTGTGAGCAACGAAACAGCAGTTAGGACAGCAGGCTGCTAGGAAAAGTGGAGGGGAAAGAGCTGGATAACAAGTTGTTGCAGCAAAAACAGGGTCGACAGCGCAGGGTGAAGCGTTTGGAGATAGTTGGCGGCTAAGGGAAGTGGAGGATATAAAGTAGGGAAGATAAAATGGGAGATACAATCACCAACTCGGAGCAGGATATAGTCGGAGAACAAACACCTCATCGGATATAGCCCTAGAACAGAGAAAATTATTCCACACAGAAAACCTGAAATCAACTCACAGCAAAAACTACCCTAACTCTCTGAAAATAGCAATATATAGACTCCCATTGATGAAGGAAATAAAAGAACGAAAGAAGGAAACTTCCTACACAAAAGGAAGAGGTGGGGAGGTAAGAAAATCCAGAAATAGTCATTAAAATACTTCCATACGAAGAAACAGAACTTGAAGGCGATCAGAGGCGTTGGAAGCCGCTCGCCTTGTAAGGAGGCTCGCCCGAGCCGCTCGGCTTGGGAACGCCCTGGACCGGTCTCCAATTGGACAGTTTGGGATCCGTTCGTTGCTCCCGCTCGTGCAGGAGCCTTCTCACACCCGCGTACCATCCATTCGGGTTTCTTCGCATTTGTGTCGGTCTCCTAGGGTTGGGGGAGCTTCAACCTAATTCGTCGAAGCTTTTGTCGACGCATGAACGGAGAGGGAGTTGTTGTAATCTTTCAAGGTGGATGGATCGTCAACTGTAGTCCTAGTAAGTCGAGCCAATAAGTATTGTCGTTCCAAAGCACATTCTAGTAAAATAGGTATCCGTCCATCTTTGGCACGCCATTTGCTGGAACTGTAGAAAGACGAATGTTCTCACGGCTCAGTTATCGAGCCAATTAAGTTGTAAACCGCTTCTTCCACACTTAGTTGATTGAGTGCATTTGATGAATTAGTATGTAAGGAGAAGTCAAATTTGGGGTTAAATTTGTGACAAGTTGCACCCCTCTCACTAGCACCCACTAAGGTGAGACATTTTTGGTGATAGGATCTGCCACCTGGATCCCATTAAAGAATTTTGTTCTCCATCAAGCTTCTCGAGCCCAGTACAAAGCTAAGGTTCATCTCTCCTGTCTGTTCATCTGACAAGGGGTACCATACGGCATAGAAAATAACCTCTGAATAATTCCATGTGATATTTTAGACATGGCCCAAAATAACTTCTCTTAGGACATGTTGACCTTCTTCCATATGGGTAGCTGGGGAGGGGTTTATAAATCTGAAATATCTGCATTTCTCTTATCTGTTGTGACTCTGTATGTAATGTTGGTTCCTCAAACTCATAACCCTTGTAGCATCTAAGGTTGGTTCTGTTGATGTTCCTCTCAAAATCTGCAAAATGTTGGATCAAGGCATCATAATCTCAGGCTCTGTTGGGCTATCTATTACCTCGGAGTTACTACCTTCTAAAGCAGTGTATGTTATCTCAACTGGAATCTATATCTTGGTGTCAACTGGATTTGGTGGCGTCTCTTCCTCGTTGGCAGAAAAAAGAGAATCGTCTCTGAAGTCTGTATCTTCTTCTTGATCACCATTAATATCTTTAACTGGAAGTGGGTTCTCCTCGTTTATGTCATCACTGTTTTTAGTGCTTGTGGTATCTTTACCCAACTTTTCAAAGACGCCTTGCTCGGTGAAGTAGATCACTCCCTTGGTCGTGCATTCTACCTCAACATGTCCAAATCTATGGCACTTGCCACATTTTCTGACTGTGACAGACTTGCAGATTGGTTTCACTAGATAGTAGCAAGGGGGGTTGCTTGGTGTTGTGGTCCCTTAATGTCGGAAGCTAGAGTCTGCAACTTCTGGCAGTCGTAGGAACTGGCGTTGTGTTTCCCGCTTCAACTTCATATCTTCTCGTTCCTTCCTTTGACCTTTCAAATCACAGTCGAGGGTAGTCTCCTATTGGATTTTATCTTCAATGTCTATAATTCACCGCCGAACTAGGCAAACCTCTCACCGTATCTCCTCCCGGGTTGGCCCGAGCATGTATCTCATTAGTGGCATGGCTAAGGTTTGGGGTTGGGAGGTGAAAGATGGTGCAAGAAACTAATTGAAGGTGTATAAAATTTGATTCAGGATTGCTAATTCTGAAAATCAGGAAAGAGAATTTAGGGTTTGGTTTTAGAATGGATGGTTCAGGGTACGAAAGAAATTTTCCGATGGGGGGTAAAACGGGCGCTGAGAAACCCTAGGATATGACTAGGGTTGGGCTAGCTCTGATACCAAATAATACCGTAGATGAAATGCCCAAACCACAAAATTCAACTTTTATTAATGGGAAAAGAGGGTTACAACACACAAATTGGAAATAATATCACCAAAACACAAACAAACACCTCGAGAGTGTATCCCAAGGGCAGTGAAAGTTGGTGGGAAGGTGGGGTAGCAGCTGGGAGCAGCAAGACTGCAATTGGGATGGCTGGCTGCTAGTAAATAAAAATGGAGGGGAAAGAGCTAGACAGCAAGTTACTGCAGCAGAAACGGGGTCGGCAGCGCAGGGGGAAGCGTTTGAAAATAGTCGGCATCTAAGGGAGGTAGAGGAGACGGAGTAGGGAAGAAAAAGAGGAGATACAATCACCACATTGGAGTGGGATATAATCGGAGCATCAACACCTCCTCGGATACAACCCTAGAATAGGGAAAACGATTCCACGCCAAAAATCTGAAATCAACTCACAGCAAAAACTACCCTAACTCTCTGAAAACAACAATATATAAACTCCCATTGTGGAAGGAAAGGAAGAAACTAAAGAAAGAAACTTCCTACAAAAAAGGTAGAGGTGGGGAGGTAAGAAAATACAAAGAGCCATTAAAATACTTCCATACGAAGAAGAGGAACTAGAAGGCAGACAAAGGAGTGGGAGGCCGCTTGCCTCTTTAGGAGGCTCGCCGGCCACTCAACTCTGGAACCCTCTCGACCAGTCTCAAATTGGACCGGTTGGAACCTTCCCGCACCCACCTCCCGTCCACGAGGGGTTCTACGCAACCGCATCACTCCCGGAAACCCTCCATTGTTACAGCGGCCCCCGAACAACCGCACATTGTTGTTTTCCCAATAGTTTTTCAATTACAGCCACCTGTCATTGTTGAAACCACCCCGAAAAGCCATCCTCTTGTTGTTCTGTAGTCCACCGCATCCCCCATTCTTGCCACCGACATTCCCGTCCTTGTAGCCGCCCAAACACAGTCGTTCCCGACTATTTTTTACTGTTCCAGCCTCCCAGTCATCTGTTCCTCCCATTCCAGCTTACTATCATTGCAACAACTCTTCCCTTTCGTTGTCATTGTCATCCTCCCCTGCAGCCGCAACCCAAGCCAACCCTTCTCAGTCATTTTTCCGCTGTCCAAAGTCCTTTTCCTTGCTACCACCGCCCAGGATAGCAACAACACTTTTTGGTTCTGCGGCTTCACACCTCCTCCTCGCGGTTACCAACACAGCTGTGTTATCGCCACGACTTCTATCCCTTCACACCCTCTTTACTACTTTTCCAGAGGATCAAACCCTCGCCAATCATCACCGCCATCTTGAGATCCACCATAGCTTGATTTTGTTGTGTCGTATTTGTTGCTATTTCTATTTCCGTTTGTGAGATTGTTTTTCTCTGCTTTGAATTCAATAATAATATTTAATTTTCCTATTGTTGTTTGAGTTAACTCCAACATCATCAATTTTACTAAATTAAGCAAATGAAAAAAAAAAATTGATGAAACATAGGACATGGGACGCATTCCATTCTCCACAACTCCAATTACGTCTCCATTTAATAGCATAGCTTCTGTAAGAAACTATAGTAAAGGGTCGGAGAATGCACCACTATAGAATATAGATGGCACCTTTTATTGGAATATGGTCGGTAAGCAAACATAATAAAATTAAGGGATTGCGCCTAGCAATTGACTAGACCAAAATACAACTAGGCAATGATGCAACATAAGTTATTGTAGTCTTTAATGAGTCAGAAGCCCTCAATTAATACCACATATAAGTGAAAATTTCCAGGAAAATAATTTAGTTGGAAGAAGCAATAGATAAAAGTTGTGAGTTTTAAAAAATCTTGGATCAAATGAAAATATCAGGCAAACACTATGACCAACTGCAAACAGACTAAGGCAGTGTTTGGCTGCAACTTACATTTACGTTAAAAAGGATTTATCAAATCAAGTAAATCCGATGAATCTGGATTTATCAAATCCAGTGTACGGCGGAGATGGAGCTTGTGAGCTACGACCGTCTCGCAATCGGACTTAGTAAATTAGGATTTATGTCACAAAAAAGACGGAACATGAGAACAAAAAGAAGAAAAGTGAAAATTCAATTTAATGGAGTATTGGATTTAATTTTCATATTTTAGGTGTTTAGCTAGATTTAAGTTAAATCCATGGCTAAAGTCCATTAATAGTATGTTACCAAATACCTCCTAGAGAAGCATATTATCGTGATCGAAAGTAAGAAAAATGGTGCACAACTATCCCAAAGAGTTCTTACCTGTGTATAACCTGTAAGAAATGGCCCAGACATAATCATGCAAACAATGGACTTGGCTACATCCTCAATATTCCAATTAAAATTTCCTGAAAAGAAACGACATAAGACCACAAAATGTAGTTACATTAAACTCCAAAATTTTTTTAGAAAAAGAAAAACTTTAAAGAACAAAATGCATCTGAGTTAGTGGTGACAGTATATCTCAACTCATTCATATAATTCTTTAACAGAAATATACAATCAATAGATTGCAATCTGATTTCTAGATTCCAGGCTTCTTATTGAAAGATTGTTACTCAACATTACCAAATCTCCTATCTCAGATAGCATGAATTTTTCATGAGCATTGGATAAATATGATTGGCAATATGTATACAACAACAACAACAACAACAAAGCCTTAATCCCACTACGTGGGGTCGGCTACATGAATCCTTTTTCTCCATTGCGTCCTATTTAGTGTCATATTTTCATTTAGTTCTAGTAAATTAAGATCATTTTTAATACAATAAGCCCAAGTCTTCCTAGGTCTACCTCTGCTTTTCTTAACACAAGTCGAATTTAAAACATCTACTCTCCTAATCGGATCATCTAATGGTCGACGTTTAATATGACCAAACCATCTAAGACGACTTTCTCTAATTTTTGTCTGTCACAAGAGCAACACCAACTCTATCACGAATATATTCATTCCGCATTTTGTCTCTAAGTGTAAAGCCACTCATCCACCTAATCATTCTCATCTCGGCAACACTTAACTTATTATTATGCTTCTCTTTTAAAGGCCAACATTCAGCGCCATAGAGCATTGCAGGTCTCACCACCATCTTATAAAATTTTCCTTTCAGTCTTAGCGGTACTTTTCTATCACACAAAAGGCCCGAAGCATTCCTCCACTTCAACCAACCAACTTGAATTCTACTATTAACATCCCCATCTATATCACCATCGCTTTGGACAACGGACCCAAGATATCTAAATCGTTCACACCTTTTAATAATTTGATCACCCAAAGTCACACTTCTGTCACTAGAGCTATTACTACTAAAATTACATTCCATGTATTCAGTTTTAGTTCTACTTAAACGAAGGCCTTTAGACTCCAATGTAGACCTCCATAATTCAAGTTTTTCCTGGGCTTTTTCTCTCGTTTTATCCACGAGAAGAATATCATCAGCAAAAAGCATACACCAAGGTACATCCTCCTGTAAATATCCAGTAAGACAATCCATAACTAAAGCAAAAAGATATGGGCTTAAAGTCGATCCCTGATGTAAACCAACAGAAATAGGAAAATATTTTGTCAATCCTCCTTCAGTTTGAACACAAGTAACAGCACTAGTATACATATCTTTAATGAGTTGAATATAAGTCATATCAACACATTTCTTCTCGAGAACTCTCCAAAGGATATCTCTTGGAACCTTATCGTAAGCTTTTTCTAAATCAATAAAAATCAAAATATAATTTGGAAAATTATGAGGATAATCTTAGTAGGTTTCCTTTGGCCAGACAAGTCTATGAAAAATATTATGATCTTTCGAATTGTTTTGTACATTTCTATATTTAATCAAATATATAAACCTTGTGATAATTTATGTAAATTATACACTTATTGAAATTTGACAAAATCAGTTCCACATTGTGCATAAAAATCATATTTACTTACTTATGTATAACACTTCTAATTATTGGAAGTATTATCCTATGTTAATTATATTCTAAGAGACAAATATGTAAGCAACAGTGACAGTAAAGCATATATGCACCTTCATATTTGACAAATATTATAAAGCAATTTGTACTTGAATGCATCATATCATGAGAATGCATCTGTTAACATCTATTATTGTAAGCATATTTATTATTGTAAGTTGCTGGAATGTCTAAACATGCCACTAATCTGGATTCTGGAATCCATGGATTATTTCCAAAGATAAAAACCAGTACCCATGGATTCATGACTAAAAAATCAGGATACCACATATTCATGTCAGAAAAAAATCAAAATCATACGAATTCATGCTAAGAAAGAAAATCTAGAAGATAATTTAAAAGTATATATTTAATTGTATAGCCATATTTAATTTTTTATTTCATTTATAGATCAGCCTATTTAGTATCTCGATTGCGAAGCCGTTGACAAAGAAACTGAAGAATGATAACTTTTAGTGAGGGAAAAGCAACCCAAACGTTCGAGAAGTTAAATATAGTCATGACGAGTGTACGATTGTTGGTGTCATGTGATTTCAGCCAATCTTTCATTATAAAGATGGATGCTTTAGGCTATAAATTAGCTGCACTCCTCATACAGTATCAACAATTCATCACATATTTCACTCAAATGTTGATTGCAAAAGGCTAACTTAAATTATTTTATGAATGGAAGCCATACAACTTAATCCAACAGCATTTTTTTTTCCATCTTGAAAATAATTTGTATTTTTGGGAGTGAGATAATGTTAGACTGGCACCAAAGAGTAATTTAGACTTTTATTATTTTTTTTTAGAAAAAGCCCGAGGGTAAATATATTAATACAAAAAAGATACAAAAAATGTTGTATGAGAGGAACTGAAAGAATGTTCAACTCATACAATACAACACATACAATACCCAGATAAAGGAAAGAAACAAAAAGGTTGAAAACCAAAAAGGCACAAAATGGCACAAAAGTGTTAGGGACGTCCCACTTTAGTCCTCCTGCCTCTAGTTCTCGGAAGTGAGTCGGCTAACAAATCGGTAAGGTGTGTACAATTGCCCGTAGTAACCAAAGTATCATCCATCTTTCATGAGCTCAAGTAGATCTTCATTCTTCTTCTTCCTCCTCGATGTATAGACTTGTCATTCCTCATCCGATGATTGACTCATTTGATCAGTAAATTCCAAAGGTGGTTGGATAGGTGTAGGTCGTTGCACGTCTTGATCCCCATGAGCCTGAGTAATATAAACATCTTTCTGAACTTGATGAGGCGGTTGTTAAGCAGTAAAAGTATTTCCACCAGTATTATCAGTGATAGGTTCTAGGACAGGCGGGGTCTGAAGAAACTCCCTCTCCCCACGACAGGAGGTTCCAAAGACGATGGAGCTACAATTGGGGATTGAATGGTTGTCATATTGCCTATCTGATCAGGAGGAGATGGAATCACAGTCTCTAGCGGAGCAGTTTGTTTTTTTGGTCTGAGTTGTGGGTGTAGATGGTGACATTGAGAATTGGAGTGTCCGAACATACGACAGTTCGAACAATACGACGGAAAAGGTTCAATCTCTACCTTCTGTCAATATCCATGGTGTTGTGTGCCCAACCAGATTTCCTCAGAAGCGGATGAAGTGATGTCTCTTTCAACAAGTATTGTGGCTTCAGAAGGACGGGATAAATTAAAAGTAGGAATGTCCGTCTTGAGTGGCTTCTCATAAACTGAGGCAATAAAGTACAATACTTTTTGAGAAAAATAATAAAATTTCAGACCAGGGAGACGAATCCAAACCGAAATGATTGGCGGATCTGTCTGTGGGTCAAAATCCACAGACCATTTCAGAATCTTCATTGTTCTGTTATCAATCCATATTATCCCTCTAGCAAATAAGCGAATGTAATCTTCTTCGTTGCTAATTTGAATAAAAATGTGTATCCCATCTAATAATCCAATTTTCCATTCTCCAACAAGATGCATAAGTTCAAATTCTTTGCGAATGAGCTCCATTTTAAGATGACCATATAGGAATTTCCCAACCAAATTCAGACGATGGGAGTAAGCAAGTTGAATACTTTCAGCTTCTGTAAAAAAGATGGCAAGCTTCCCATTCTTCCTACCGGGTTTCTTGATGTCCTCCGCCCACTCAAACGAATGAGGGAAAGATGATGATTTTGGTGTGTCTAAAGCGTGGACACCGACAAGGGCAGCTGCATATGATTTGTCTGAAGTCATCCTCAAAGATAGGTGCGACGTTTAGAGAAGAAAGCAAACAAAGGAAAAAAAATGCGGTGAAATAGTCAAACGACGCGGTGAGACCGAGCACCAATTGCGATCGCTATCACGCGAGGTTGAGTCGTACGCGAGCGACAAGACGGGCCGCAGAGGAGCAGAATCGAGCGCAGAACGAGAGATGAAGAGCGCGAAGATGCCGAGAGGAAACACGCGAGCGAGAGAGAGAGAGAGAGAGAGAGAGAAAGCGAAGCCATAAACTGTTGCTAGGGGTTGCCCACGGGCGGAAACGAGCGAGGACGACGCCATCGATGCACAAGATCTTTGTCCTCAAGATAGAAAATATAAAACGGTTGTGGATCAAGTTGTAATGCTCCTGCGTGACAACATAATCTGATAATATTTTCTATTTAACCAGAAATTCATTGTCCCTCATGAGTTCAAAATACAATCTTGTGCTCATCTTTCAGCTGCATCCGAATCTGATAGAATTCCAACTTCAAGTCAATCTTGGGGAATACCAAAGCCCCAAACAACAGCTCCAGCACCCATTCGTTAACAAGATGGGAAATTGGTCAAGTATTGATTCCTCATTCACTGCCAGAAATTACTATTGCTTTGTATAACTAGAACTTATTATGCTTAGGGTTAGGTATGCTATGAGATTATTGTCTTGAAGAGAGATCGCCTACCCCTCAAATTATAGGTGCTTATTTTTATGTATTCGGGTTGTGTTGTTTTGTGTTATTGAAGAAAAATATTTTTTTGCCCTAATTTCTATGGAAATTCATATATGTTTCTATCAAATATTTAATAGGAGCCAGAGGAGTTTTCCACAGAAATTAGGGCAAACCAAATTATTTTATTAAAATAACACCAAAAAATACAACTCAAATACATAAAAATAAGCACCTACAATTCGAGATGTAGATAATCTCTCCCAAATCCTAACCCTAAATCTATAATTAGAGAGATAGACTATCTCTCTCAAGCCCAAACCTTGAAAATCTAGACAACAATCACATATGCATAACCCTAACAATAATAAGCACTACCTATACCAAACAATGATAACTAATAAAACATTAAATTGTCCTTGGACGTAAATCTAGTATTACTCTCCTCCCAAAAAGACGCTTGTCCTCAAGATAGAAAACATAAAACGGTTGTGGATCAAGTTGTAATGCTCCCGCGTGACAACATAATCTGATAATATTTTCTATTTAACCAGAAATTCATTGTCCCTCATGAGTTCAAAATACAATCTTGTGCTCATCTTTCAGCCGCATCCGAATCTGATAGAATTCCAACTTCAAGTCAATCTTGGGGAATACCAAAGCCCCAAACAACACGTCCAGCGCCCATTCGTTAACAAGATAGGAAATTGGTCAAGTATTGATTCCTCATTCACTGCTTGATAATCCACAAAAAAATGCTAACTCTCATCCTTCTTCTTCCCAAGCAAGACTACGCTAGAGCAGGGGCTCATACTAAGTTGTATGATCCCAACCTGGCGAACTCCAATATCTCTCGGATAAATCTCTCAATCTCGTCCTTTTATACTTGACCATAAGTGTATGGGCGCACATTGATGAGACAAACCCCTAATCTCAAAACTATAGCATTCTTGTGTTCACTCTAAGGCGGTAATCTGTATGGCAACTGAAAACTTATACCAATTGTTTGAGAAGTAGTTGGATTAGTGTCGGAATCTCTACTAACTCCATATCAGTGTTTCTTCCCTTCTTCCATAAATCTAGCACAACCAATAATCAACTCATTTGTCTCCATATGCTCCTGAAACGCCTTTCTCCTTGAAGGGTACCACAGCATGACACGGTTGAATGTATCCCTCTGACAAGGTCTTACCCAACTTGTTTCCCCGTTTCAGGCTGAAATCCTTTGAATCAAATTACTCCGACCACGAATCGCACAATGTCCCGTTCTGCCTATTGTCACTTGTTCCAAACCTCTAGTATCACCCAATATTGGAGAATAAGGTCATCGATGCACTATCAAGGAAGGTGGAGGCACCCCAGCTGACAGCTTTATAGTACCCATGATCTTAAATTTGGAAGCCTTGAGGCAGAAGAGTGAACGGGATGAGAGCTTGAGAAAGTTCAAGGCAAAGTAGCTACAAGATTCGGATAGTCATCCAGGATATGCATTGAGAGGACAACAGCTACTATACCAGTGACAATTTGTGATACCGAGAGCATAGAGGTATATACCCAAAGAGTTGTAGGAGTTTTGCAATGGTACAATTGGGGGGCACTCGGAGGAATAGAAGAAATACAATCGAATGTCGGCAGAGCAATATTATGTGGGGATGTGTAGAGATGTATAGGACATGGTGGCAAGATATGATGTGTGCCAACAACACGTGTATTATGGTACCAGGAGAGTTAGTGCAACCCCTAGCTTTACCTAAGAAGGTCTAGGATGAGGTGACAATGAATTTTATGAAGGTTTTTCCATGAACAGAAGGATTTGTTGTGATAAAGGTGGTAGTGGATCACAGAGTAAGTATGCACACTTCTTTCCAAAGTGATACCCTTACACTGTTGTCTTAGTCACTATTGTGTATATACGAAAAATAATTCGTTTGCATAGTGTTCCAAAATCTATTGCATTAGATAGGGATAAGGAATTCCTCAGACATTTCTGGAATAAACTGTTCAGATTACAATGGACAATCCTAAAAATAAGTACAACATATCATCCTTAGCATATGACAATACAGAGGTAGTCAACGGAAATGTGGAGACATGCCTGTAGTTTTTTATATCATATATGCCAAAATTTTGGATAAGATGGATTGTTTGGGTTGAGTGTTGGTACAACACTTCATACCCTATTGCTGCACATTTCACTCCTTTCATGATTTTGTATGGGCAAGGTCCACCTCACCTAATAAAATATAGGAAAAAACTACAATATCCAGTGTAGACCATTACTTGAAGGAAAGGGGTAGGATATTGACAGAGCTCAAGGGACATCAACTGAGAGACCAACAATCATGAAAAGTAAGGCTAACGGACATAGGAGTGAGGTACAATTTGAGCTCGAGGACATGATTTATATGAAGTTGAAATATTACCAACATAAGACAGGCTAGGAAGAGGAGCGAGAAGCTTTCTCTGCAATATATTGAATCCTATGAGATTGTGGAACGCATTAGGGCAGTAGCATACCATCTATTTATCACCATCATCATCATTGCATCTAATATTTCATGTAACACAGCTAAGGCATGCTATCGGAGACCACACATCCTTCTCTTCACTATCTCAGATGCTGACAAAAGACATGAAGGTGGTTTTAGAACCTTTGGTGAAAATCAAAATATTTTATGCCAAAGTGAAAATCAAAATCCCATGAATTGACATGACAAGGATTCATGTCAACAAAAAAAATCAAGATCCCATGAATTTATGCTAAAAGAAAAAATTCAGAACCCATTTTTTAAATTTATATTTATTTGTACTGTTACGAATATTTTCTTATAACATGTCTAGATTAGTCTATATATTTCATTGCATTAAATACTTTATAAAACAAGAAAGAATTATTTTCAAATAAATAAACTAATATATGTATTTTTAGTGAATCTTGCAATATATGCCAGAACACGGTAAAATCTAGGTTTCATAAGCAAAATGCACATGGTAAGACGTCGGCTTCATCAATATACGACTCCAGCCCAAGATTATGAAGTAAGATCACTGGTTTGCTTTTCCCTACTTCCTAGAAAAGAGGAAATATACTCTTGTAAAGGCTTCTGCTGCAAACCACAATAAATTATTGCAAACATGAAGAAAGTGAAGACTTGCAACATAATGTTTCACCAAATGGTGACGTGACAAGACAAAAATGTAACTCAATACTAAGTTTCAGCCAAGAGAATACAAAAAAACTTATAGCTTTACTTCATATATAACAACGTGTCAATTTCAGTAATACGATTCTAGATGAGCTTTGGTTATGGTTATCTGAGTATGAAACTAAAAAAATACAAAAAATATTTCAAGTTAGAGGATTATCTATAATTTGTGAATCCCAACTGATATTGCTAAACTGATACAACTAATAAAGAAAATCCCCCAATTGGACGAGCATATACATAACACGAAGTAAAAGGAAAAATACCAGAAGCAGCAGCCCCACAGACCACTCCCCACACCAACGGAGGCCAAGTGACAGGTTTTGTAAGTTGAAGACGGATCTTCCATTTGTCCTGAAGTATAACACAGAAAATGGTTCAACGTTCTCATGCATAAACTAGATCATGTTTCAAAAACAAAGTGAAAAACTGATTAATGATAGAATTCTTAAATCTACCATGCAGGACTTGAAGCACAGTTGCAAAATACTAATAAGGTATACGGAAACGAGTTAAATGTTATTGGGAATCTAGGATTAAAGGTCTCGCTACCATCAATGGTGTTAAATATAATTATTTAAATGATACTGTCTTTAGTGAGCTTCTGCGAGTGATGAGTAGATATTGAGTCAATAAGGTGTAACATTTACAGTGGTCTAAGGGTGTCCCCACTATCACTACAATCTTTAAAAGAGGGCACATAAATTTCAACCTAGTTTAACTCCTGTAACCTATTTGGCTTAAAAGCCTGAAGTGCACAGGGGGCAGTTGATGTATGGCTTCTTACATTTTGTTATTGAAATTAAACATCTTCCACCATGGCAATTAAAGAAATTAATCAGCGAGGTAGATAAAGATGATGCATTAAAGAGAATCAAAAAGGCAAGCAACGGCTAGTCAGGAAGTTTGCAAAGGTATGTTGAACTTTTAATGGCAAGTTATACACGCTCTAAAACTAAATATGATACATCATCGTGTGAATATAGCAATGCACTTCTTCAAATATCATGTGCATTTGTATGTAATTTTTACAGGATAATAGGAAGTTAATCTTCTTATATATTTAGGAGAAAATAGTGTTGAGAAATTAGGGCGAATAAAAAACATGAATCGACACAAAACCAGAAGAACACAAATTTAACGAGGTTCGGCGAAGATGTCTACGTCATCGGAAGCAGAGCAGCGAATTTCACTATTTCATAGGGGTCCAATACATATCCATAAGGTTACAAATCATATATATAGATAAAACCCACAGATAAAATTACTAACATGCTCTCGCACCACACCCCCCCACCACACC